AACTATATTTATCTACAAGAGACATACTTTAGATTCAAAGTCACAAATAAACTAAAAGTAAAAGTTTGGGAAAAAATATACCATGTAAACAATAACCAAAAGAGAGACTGGGGACAACATAGTATCTAAGACAAAAATTATTACTAGAAACAATGAAGGACATCATGTGATGATAAAAGGGTCAATGTACCAAGAATATATATCAAAAATAAATATATATTACTTAAGCAATACAGTCTCAAAATACATGATATGAAAATTAACAGAATGAAGGGAGAAATGGACAATTAACAAAAATACAGACTTCATTACCACATTTTCAATAATGGATAGAAAAACTATAAAGAAGACAAACAAAGACTTTAACAACAATATAAATCAACTAATCTTAAATGACTTTATAAAGCATACCATCCAACAACAGCAGAATACACATACTTCTCAAGCACACATAAAACATTTTCCTGGATAAACCATATGCTAGATCATAACACAAGACTTGATAAATTTAAAAAGATTGAAGTTACACAAATTATGCATTCAGAAAACAACAGAATAGTTAGAAATTAATAAAAAATGAAAATTTGGAGAATTAACAAATGTAGGCATTAAATACCATAAGTAGCCAATGGGTCAAAGAAGAAATCACAAGGAAAATTAGAAAATGCTTTGAGATTAATAAAAACCAAAACACAATATACCAAAACTCATCAGCTGCAATTAAGTAGTGTTTAAAGGGAAATTATATCTGAAAATATGTATATTAGCAAGAAAATAAAGATCTGAATTCAATAACCTAACCTTCCATCTTAAGAAACTAGAAAATTCATGGGTGATTTACAAGTGTAGCAAGACAAATCAATGAGTAAAGATGGTTTTTTTCAACAAATAGTGCTAAAACAAGTGGCTTCTACATGCAAAAGAATAAAGTTGGACTCCTACTTCACGTCATAAACAAAAGTAAACTCAAAATGGGTCAAAGACCTAAACGTAAGAGCAAAAGATATAAAACTCTCAGAAGAAAACATTGGTGCAAAATCTACATGACTTAGGATTTGACAATGGATTTATAAATATGGTACCAAAAACATGAGCAGCAACAAAAAAACAGATAAATGAGACTTCATCAAAATTAAAAGCTTCTGTGCTTCTCTACTTAAAAAGTGAAAAGACAATTCACAGAAGGGGAGAAAATATTTGCCTATATGCCTGATAAGGGCACAGTATCCTGAATATATAAAGAACTTTCACATTTCAACAATAAAAGACAAATAACCCAGTTTAAAAATGGACAAAAGATATGAATAGACATTTCTCCAAAGAAGCTTTATCAAGTAACCAGTGAAGGACATGAAAAGATGCTCAACATCACTAATCATTAGGTAAGTGCAAATCAAACTACAATGAAATCATATTTCACATCTATAAGGATAGCTATAGTCAAAAGATGGACAACAGTAAGTGTGACAAAATGTGGAGAAATTGGAACCTTCGTATATTGCTGATGGGAGTATAAAGTAGTGTAGCCACTTTGGAAAACAGTTCAGCTGTTCCTCAAAGAGTCGATTGTAGAGTTACCATATGACTCAGCAATTTCACTCCCAGGTATATACCCAAGAGAAATGAAAATATATGTCTACACCTAAACTTGTGCACAAATATTCATAGCTGCATTATTGATAATGTCCCCAAAGTGGAAACCACTCAAATATCCATTGACTGATGAATGGATGTACAAAATGTGGTATACACATCCAATGGAATATTATTCAGTAGTAAAAAGGAACGAAGTACTCACAGCTACATGCCAAAGATGAACAAATCTTTTTTTAAACCACTTCATTAAGGTAGGACTGACATACAAAAAGCTGTTTATATTTAATGTATGCAACTTGATGAGTCTGGAGATAAATATATACACATGAAACATAATGTGGCAATGACCACAATCTATGCCATTCAAAATTGATGAATCTTGAAAACACTATGCTAAATGAAAGAAGCTAATCACCAGAGATCACATACTGTATGATTTCATTCCTATGAAATATCCAGAATAAACGCATCAGTAGAGACAAAGTAGATTGGCAGTTGGCAAGGGTAGAGGGGAGGAGGAACTGAGGAATGACTGCCAATGGGTATAGAATTCTTTTGGCTGTGATGACAATATTCTGGAATTAGTGGTGATAGTTAAGCAACTTAGTGAACATACTAAACATTTCTGAATTGTACCCTTTGAAAGATTTATTTTACAGTATGTGAATTACATCTCAATAATTGTTTTTAAAAGGAGATAGAAGGGAACCTGTATTTAAGACATATCAACTTTTCTTTTAATGAGCAAAAGTAACTATAATGTCTATGGATGCACATTTGAGGGGTACATAAAGCTGTAAATAAACAAAATGAAATGGTGACTGTAAAAGTCAGGATAATGGTTCCCTGTGGGTGAAATGGAATATACTGAGGGGCTTCTGGAACTGGCGGCAAAGTTCTGTTTCTTGGACTGGCAATGGTTACACAGGTGTTCACCTGAAAATGACTCATTAAGCTTTCCATTTGTCCTATGATTCTCTGTTTCTGTTATTTTACAATAAAAATAAAGTTTAAAACAACTATAAGCATTGCCCTGCAAAAAATGTTCTTAAGAAAATCAAAAAAAAAAGGAAAAAAAATCCATTTCCACCTCCTTTCTTGAAATATGAATCTAACAACTTTCATTGGTTATGTTAAACTTGTCTGAAGAGTTATTCTGAAATCCTGCCCACAAATACTAACCAGCTAAAAGGCCCAACCATGCTTTCTCTCTATCTAGGGTAGATAAGGGAGCGTCCAACATCTAGAAAAACCACATCACTAATCACATTGGCCAATCAAGCGCCCCTTGGCTGTTAGAGCTGAGTTTCTGGAGGCTTGAAGCTGTCGTTGTTGGAAGTGTCAGAATCACAGTTTCCTCATCAAATGCAAGGCTGAACCCAGGAGTAAGCGCCAGCAAACTATCCATCATCTTTTCCATTAAAAAAATAAATCTGTCACACTTGTCCCAATGCACACACATGATCTACTATAGAAAATGTGCACCTTCTGCTTTTCTGTACAAATTCCATCTGTCTCCATGATCACAGCTGAATAGTACTTTCTGCCCGCAGGCTAGGTTGGTGTTTGGAAAGAGTTTTGATGACTGGAACCATGCGGGGCTCTGGATTTCCATGGCAGCCCTGGTCACACCCTCCACTCTGATGAGGAATAATCCATTTGGGTCACTCCAGGGACTCTTCTCCAGCCCACCAGCCCTCAGGAAGCAACCTGGACTCACATTAACATCGCTATCTCTGTGTAATATTGCAAATGTCATTTCAGAGCCAACGAACGGATACTTTCTCTAAAAACAATACAAGTAGACATTCCATAGAGCTTATTGAATACAAGCACTGTCCTGAGAGTTTTCTGTGTGTAAATCTCTGGCTATGAAACAGTCAAGCACACTGTGATGCCTCTGGGCTTCACTCCAAGGTTTTCTAAACGGTCTGGTGGGCGAGTACATGGTATTGCACCATGGACTAAAAAGGGGACTGTTAACGAAAGGATGGAGGGATCCCACCATATGGCTAAACCCAGTCCTCCTGCCAGTGAGGCTGCTTGGAGAAAGCATCCAGCCAAAAGGCACGTCTTTTGGGGGGAGTTCCATTGCTGCATCTTCATCTCTCAGGTATCTTCCGGGATCTCGCCTCCGAGGCCCAAGTCCTCTGTACTGGCCTCGTTCTCTGAAATCTCCTGTGGTCATCTAATAACCTAAAAGTCTCTTTTTCCATCCGAAACCCCATTGCCCATTCAGGAGTCTCCTGAGGCTCCCTTCTGTAAATCCTCATCCTGTGGTGCATCTTGTCTGCAAGAGATTCTCACCTGTTGGCTTCCGGCTTCCCGCAGCCTCACACCTGGGTCTGGCTTGGCTTAGGAGCTCCATCTGTGCCCTTGCTCTTTAGTGCTTCTTCTTGGGCTGCCCTCTCATGTGGG